TAAAAAATGTTTTGTTTTGACATATAAGTTGTTCGGGTTTTTTTCATTAAAAAAACGACATTAATTTCTTGACGACCTAATATATTAAAAGTAAAAAACAAAAACCAATGTTTTTTGGTACAATGAAAGGTAAACTTTATTATTAAACTAACACTGGGGTCACTAGTTCCAATGATGGTAACTAGTCGGCTGTAGTTATTGATAACGAGTTTACCTTTTGTTGTGCTAAAAAATGTTGGTTTTATGTTTTTTACTCTTAATTAGAGACATATCTTGAGTACAAATACTATATTAATGCAACTGATTTTTTGTGTTCATGTTGCTGATAGCAGCTTTGGATCTGTATGCAGAATAATTCAAAACTGTGGTGAGAATGAGCTAGAATCAGTAAATTAAAATCCTCTTTCCCTTTTGGTTAAAAATAATGTAATAACAGATATCAGAGTGAATTAATGACATTGTTTGAAAGACAGTATGTGATAGGAGAACATGGCATGTTGATTGTACCTTCTGGTTTATGTTGGAGGCGGTAAAGTTAGATTATGTCTTAGCAATATCAATAATATAAGTTTACAATTTGCATTAAAACTCAGAAGCTTAAATAGGGGTAGAAATATTATCTAAGCCATGCAATTCAGAGTGATCAAGGGTCAAATGATACAAAAAATGGAAGATTTAAAATTTATTTAAGTATTATCTTTTGAGAGTAGAAAGTTAATCGTTATGTAATATTAACATTTAATTTATTAACAGTGTTTTGATACAAAGTTTATTGACATAAACTGATAATATAGTAGTTTAATTAAATGTTCAATGTAACTCTGTAGGAAGGTCATGAAATGTTCACTTTTATTCACTCCTATCCAGAGGGTTAATGTCATCAGGAAGTATCATTATTGTGGATTTTATCTAAAACAACTTGTCTAGATGAGCTGACCATTAGAAGTATTCTTACTTGAACTAAATAATTGTTTTATCAATTGTTGAGTGAAAGTAGACAGTTTAGTTTTTCTTAAGCTGATTATTATTTTGCTCAAAGTTTACTGCTTGCAGTTTTTAGCCATGGAAAATGAAGTTAGGGATGGACAGGGTATATATATTTTTAACTATGAAAGATGTGGCTCAGAATTTGTAATTTCTAATGACAGTCTTAGACAAATCAGAGCATAAAAACACCAGTCAGTCATGTCGAAATAATATGATGCTGAGTTTGATGTACAGAAAAAATGGAAAATAAGATAATTTTTCAAACCTTCTGAACTCTCTGCTATTATTTATCATGAAGATATTTTTATAGTATCATTATTTGTTCTTATACTTGTGTTTTAAAGATTCTTTATCTTATATCTTATGATACTACACAACTACTTTAATTATAAGAAAAATATAACTTTAAACACTAAATGTATTTTTTTTATTGTTCCTGATATAACTGATTGATGCATTATATTTTCAATGATTTGATATTATTACATTTATTGTGATATTTATAATATTGGTTTATGTATTAGCTGAATATGTTTTTAATAAAGTTAATTTTAATTTAATGACATGAAAATAGAGTTAATATATCACCATGTTTTGGTAAAAACTTCTTATTTTGGCTTTTATTACATATGCATGATAAAAGTTAGCTCTTTTTAAAGGTTCCACAGTTCATTTTGGATCACTGTCATGTCAGTGGCCAGCCTTGCCGGATAATCTGTACTCAACCTCGTCGCCTGGCTGCTTTGTCTGTTGCTGAACGTGTAGCTGCTGAGAGGGGAGAAAAAATTGGGCAAACTGTTGGCTATCAGATTCGATTAGAAAGCAGGTTTGTACTTGTATCATTTCAGTTCTTTATATATATATAAGTATTTGTATGATAAGGAAATTGGTTTGTCAGTAATTTTTAAAATGTCGTTTCATTGAGACCATTTTAAGTGAAAAAAAAATGCCACTCTGTTGCTATTTATCTCCAACTTACTTAGAAAATTCTATAAATGGTGTGGTTCCAATTTTTTTTTTATTGACAATGTTTTTTAATGTTTAAGCCCTGACTTTGTTTTTGAATAGTTATTTTTGAAATATTTATTTGGTGTCTGTATTTCACTGTTTTTATTCCTGTTGAAAGAAGCTAATATTCTTTTGCTGTTGACACACAACACTGAGGTTGAGTACCTTACATTAAAACGATTTTGGAGCTTCATGTCATTGAAGTCCATGTTGCCAAATTTAAACACCCTCTATCTGATGACTTTGCATCTTCACAGTAACCTTAGAGTGTAGTTTTCATTGTAAAAACAAAAACGTCCATCATAAATGCTCTCATGTCCAAAGTACACCACTCCTCCTTGCTAACTTTCCAGAAACCATTTAATGTATGAGGATGATAATTTCTCAGCTCCCTTTTCAATATTCCAGTCACACAGAAATTCATAGTTGGTGCATCTGGTGACTCATCCGGTATGTATTTGTATGGAATAGTATGAATACCTACTTCATTCTACAGTTGCTAGAGGTATGCGACAGTTAAATGGGTGGTTAGACTGGAATCTTTATCTTGCTGATCACATGCTTTGTTGGCTTTACTTTTAGATCAGAATCCTTCTTTATTATGTTGTGTACTGTTGCCTGGGGTACATGGTTGGCTCTTGCCCTTGTGTTCATGGATACCCACCTGTTACAAGATACCAAGAGTTACTTATCACTGCTAGGATACAACTTGTTACACATTTCTTTCTAGATGGTCTTAGTGCCACAAGTTAATTTGTGTTCTTTTTGTTTCCCAATGACATCAAGTACAAGGAATGTTGCTGATTTTAAATCCCTGACCTGAAACATCTTTATGATCTGAGCACATGAATATTTTGCATTTGAAAGTGCTGTTACATACCCTTCCCAAAAGTGATCAATTGTTGGTGGCATCACACTACCTAAGATATTCCAAACATTCCATATGTATTTCTGATACATGCCATTCCACCACAACATTATATTGACTTTGGTTTGTCCCATGACTTGCTGATTTGCATATTCAGAATCATTTTAATATTACTTAGGGATGCATAGTCTAAATTGAGATATTTATGCATGTTTTGTAAGTATGTTACATTCTCTTTTAACTAACATTATTGGCTAGTGTGTTAAAAGGATCTATTTTTGTCAGTTTAAAATTTCTATTATTGTTTATTTTTATTATAATGATTGTTTTGTTAGATTAATATGTGGTTTAAGGACTAACCTATATCGCTTAAGCTGTCTGAACCTCGGGATATTATTAGGATTATGACTGATGATATTGCTAAGAGTTTTGATAGCTAACTGATGAAACAGTGCATTCTAATCATTATAACTAAAGAAGAAAGAAAAGAATATTAAGAATAAATTAGCTATATTCATTACTGGTTTCATTTTGAGTTCAGATCCATGTAGGTAGCTTACTTTGATAAGAAGTTTGCTAAAATAAAGAAAACATTAATAATGCTTGGAGATGGCTTGAATGGGTAATGAAGAAAAACTTTAATATAAGTTTAAGATAAGAGCAAATGTACAACGTTTTGACAAAACCTTGTCGAAACATTGTACATTTGCTGTTATGTTAAACTTATATAAAGTTTTTCTTCATTACCCATTCAAGCCGTCTCCAACATTATTAGTCTCAAAGTGGGTTCCTTGTCATCGAATAAAGAAAACATTGCATAGCCTGCAATTAGTACAAAAGCTACTCTAGTCTCTTTTTGTATTATTTTGCAAACCTGTTGTATTGTCTTGCCTCAAAGATATTAGCATTCAGTGTTTATACTTAATGTGTTGATTAGAACTTGGTATGTGAGTTTTATATCCAATCGTATATACATGTACTGGTAGTGCTCTTAAGAAAATTAGATTAACTGTATATCCAATAATTATGTATTTTTGAACTTTTAATATTTACATATATATGTTCTTTCTCTTTTTAATTGACGAGAACATTTTTTTGTGTAATATTTGACAGGGTGTCTCCCAAAACTCTCCTGACATTTTGTACAAATGGTGTTTTGTTAAGAACTTTAATGGGAGGAGATGCTGCTATGGCAACAGTGACTCATGTTATCATTGTGAGTAAACCATATTCAAGCCATGAATACTTTGACCTACTTGTGCTCAGAAGGTTAAGTCAAAGTGTTTTAATTTGATAAATTTATTTATATTGTTAATTAAATTTTACTGTTTATGGCAATAGTAGCTAGTAATATTTATTTATAAATCCTACTTAAGTTGATTTTTTCTGATTTGAGTTGAGTGATTAGTGAAATTTGCTAATTGATCAATTATCGGACTCATTAACTGACAATGATTACATTAAGCTAGTCAGTTATTCTAACATGTTACTAATCATTCTATTTTCACCTTTTTTTTTAAAATACATTTTTGAACTACGTTTTATTTGGTATAATAGACATCTTTATGGTTAAGTTATTTTTTTAATCTTAACATATTGTATATGAAAATGGATTCATATACAAAACCTTTAACAAGCTGAAATTATTATTATTAACCTTGTTTATTACCATTCCATGTATTTTCACAAAACTACTCTACTGAAACTAAACAAACCGTGTTAGATGTAAATGTGTTCTTAGGTTTCATATAATAAAACTAGTGAAAAATCATTGTGTGTGACAGATAACATATTTATAATTTGGTGAAGACAAACTAAGAACAATTCTGGAAAAACATCCTTATTTTTCAGGATGAAATTCATGAACGTGATCGCTTCAGTGACTTCCTGATGATTATTGCAAGAGATTTGCTGTTAAAGTTTAGGAACTTGAAACTTGTGTTAATGTCAGCTACTCTAGACACTCAGCTGTTTGTTAAATATTTTGGTGGATGCCCTGTTGTAGATGGTAGGATTTTTTTGTAGTATTTTGTTTCAACTATGTATTTGATACTACCTAAGCTAATCTGATATATGCCTTTTTTTATGGCATGCTTGTGTGCATGTACAATTGATATTCGGAGTACTATTTCGAAGACTCAAACTTTTTAGGTCTTTCTTCCTTTATATCTTTGCTTGGTTATAATAAATCTATACGAAATTTGTAAACATATTATAAGTACATATGTAGTTTTATATTTGCAGCTACTTTTATATATTGGTTAACTATTTAAAGTTCATATAGAAAATGTATGAAGAGCAAGATTTCTATTTTCATTTATAATATTAAAATGCCTAACAAAGATATTTTAGTTATTTTAGTAAAAGCATAATATGTGTACATAACTCGGAGTTGTATTCAGCTTACTAAACTTGATACTTGGAACTGTTGGTACTTGGTGAAACTCCATAATTACAGAATTGAGTAAAAACAAGACAATTGTAAGTTTCACAAATACATCATTTAGTCACAACCAGTAAAGGTATCATCAGATACAGACTGATACATGGTCGTGAATGAACGATGTATTTGTGAAACTTACAATTGTCTTTTTTTTACTCAATTCTGTTAATAAAACTTCATATACTAGACAGTATTTGGTCATGTCTGTGCTTATTTCAAAATAAAAGAGCATTCTGTGATATTATCAAGTTTCTAAACAAGATGTAATGTTTTTAGTTCCAGGACAGATACATGATGTAAAAGCATACTTTTTGGAGGATGTTCTTAAAAGGTATGAAATCTTTATAGATTAAGTAGAAGGATAAAAGTAAAGTTCTTTTATCTTAATAGTTTGTAAGAATTTAATTATCTTTATACAGTACTGCCTCATTATAATGCCATTGGTTATAATGCTTTCTTTGATATAACACTTTGGTGCCTTGGCTTCCAAAGATTTAGTATCATCTGCTGCTTAGCTCATTGCCACATGATTTCTGAGGCTAAAATAAAGGAAAAAAAGTGGGAAACGCAGAGTGAAAAGCCCAGAGATGTGAATATGAAGTTTGAATGTGAACTTGATATTGGGATGTTGAGAATTAAGGTAAGAAGGGAATTTGTAAATGTGACTCGAATGTCAAAATAGCAAGAAAGTGTCATTATATAGCATTTGTAAAGGACAGGTTTAAAGTCACAGGGGCAGTTTTTTAGCCAATTGACTCCATGGTAGCATAAAAACTATTGGCTATCATTGGACCCAGTGGAGATTCCATCTATCTGGTCATAAAAGAGGAAATGGTTTAACTTTGTGTAGAGGGCAAGAATTTCCAAGAATTGTTTACGGGTGAAGCCAAGATACTATTTAGTGTCAGAAAAAAATTAGAGATGTCGTGTCATTAATTGTGGCAGGTTTAGAGTAGCATTAAGCCTGCTCACTTTTGGTGCAATTTTATTTATCCAATGTTTATTCCAGGAATTATGATGCATATGTGAAATCCTCTACATTATGTTTGGAAAGAGGCTTAAAACCAAATGAAGCAGATGAAAGTATCACTTTTTAAGTAAATAAGTGAACATGAGTGTGTTTTGTTTCTGAAATATCAGAAATTCCAAAACATACTTACCTCTTCTCACATTACAGCTACTGCTCAACTGCTAGAGTTTCCCTCTTCTGCTCATCTAAAGATTGGTTTGATTTTTTTTTGCTTGCTCCAGTGTTTTATTTCCTACTTAATTGCCCTTGGCGATATCTGTTTCGTTACACTCTCCACCTATGTCAGTGTGTCCTCTATCCTTGTACTGTATATAAGCATCTCATTCAGATATTATCATCACTTTTTCTCAACAGTGTTCACTAATGGGTTTCTCTGTAAAACGACCGTTGGAGAGACTTTGAGCATTCTTCGTGTTACCTAGTTGATTTTCAGAACGAAAAAACAATTTTTTTTTGTTTGGCAAGCCAATCTATGGCATGAATTCCTTTGATTATTGTTTCTGGCATGGAGGCAAATCAGGTCTGATATCTAGCAAGTTGGGTAGGGGAGTCACTCTCTGTTGAGGCTATCCATGACTTTATTCTTAGGGAGATAGAGACATATGTTTGGTCCGATGATGTTTCTCCATGGGCTCTGAGGCTGCACTTGCAGGCGGTCGTGGACGTTCTGGAGAGAATTTAGATTCACTTTTTCTTTATTCTGTCGGCATTTCAGGAAGCAAAATTGGGATCAGCTGCCTCTGGCTCCTTTTCTTCAGTTTCTAAATCAAGTCTGTGATGTTTTGGATCTTTCCCTGGTTACTTTTGAGTCTGCTCGTTCTTTGGTGGAAAGGTCTGAGGGCGAATACTTAGTTCTCCCTCCATCCTCTGTTTTTGTGGTTCATGCAGAGGGGTTTATGGCTCAGTTACGTGAAGGGACAGCTATGCCTTGTTCTCCATGTTTGTCAGAACAACATGCTTTAGCCTTCCACTGCCAGATGGACATGCATTTAGACCCGCTCTTGGAAATTTGGGGTTCCAGAACAGTCTGTGGTCAACCTGAATAGATTACAAATTTCTAGGATTCATCTGACCCTAACTACGGCGCTAAGATATTTATCATCCCTTCAATTTTTGTCAGAAGTCTCTCAACAATCGCCACATCAATTTGAGGATGAGTTGGGACCATTGTTAGCATCTACCTTGGTACAGTTGTCAGCTTCTGCACTTTCCCTAGTCTGTTGGCTGGTATGTTGTTGGGTAGAGATGCGTTGTTGGAGGATGTTCGTCTACTAGCTGCCACCCTCTGTGAGTTACTTGAGGCTCCCTTTCTCTAACCTTTGAGTTCTGTGGGCATTCCAGAGTCTTTGGAATCAAGGATTGTTATTGCCTGTTTGCATTCATCCTTCTCGGCTTTCCTTGGTTCATAGTTTTGCCCCTATTCAGAGATTTGTTGGTCAAGGGGGCAGTGGAGAGAATCATCCCAGTTCTTTCAGAATGTTATTCCCATATGTTTATTGTGCCCAAGAAGACAAGAGATTGGTGTCTGATCATAGATCTTTCTCATCTAAATCAATTCCTAGATCCTCCAAGATTCACGATAGAGTCATTCCTCACTCTGCATTGCCATTTTGTGCAAGGACTGTGGATGACCAAATTTGATGTTGCTGACACCTATCTGCACTTTTCCAAGGAGATGTGAGTATCTCCATTACTAATAAACTATTCTTTACTTTCCAGGGTCCCTTACCTCTTTTTCACAGTATTCCACTCTGTGGCAAGTGTTGCCCAGGCAAGTGCACATTTATCAAACCAGTTCTGCACTAACAACCATTAACACAATATACTTTATCTAGGTTGCAACAAGCTCTTTAGAAATGAGGTGTTCCATAAGACCACCTAGAGGTAGACCAGGTGGTATTACTGTACTATGCTGGATTGCCACTCATGGACTATCATGAATAAAGCATATGGGGATTCTGCCCTTCCCTGCTAATCATTGGATTGAATAAATCAGGGTTGGTTTGCTTTTAAAGATTTAGGGAACTTGGTTCACCTATTGCACTGTTTCCAGAGCATTGTTCCTCAGTACTCTCCAATGCACATTACTCCCCCTCCCCCCAATATTCTACCAGTGGAGCTAGGGAGTCCTTACCACACCTTGTTTCCAGTCGCTTGAGTGGTGAACAGAGGTTATTCGTCCAGAGTGTTTGAGTGAATTTTCTCCACACCTGGAAAAGAGGGTGTTTTTTGTTTTGTTTTTCCCAGATGTCGGTAGGAGAGGAACCAGCCTACTTGTAATACCAATTCAGATTTGATGTCCGGCTATCTGGTTGGGTTGAGCATGGCCTTTCTTTTTGATCAATATTGGTTCAGTACATCGTTCATGAAAGAAGGTCCATTGTCTCCTTGTAATTCTGAACGTATACATGTATAGCTCAAAGTATATTTACTTAAACAAAAGCAAAATATGAATAACTTGTAAACAAGTGTTATCTGCTATAAAACAAATCAAGTATGGTAAGTCAAGAAGCTTTGAAAACCTACAAGTGAGATTTTTATGTAGGTGGGTTTTTAACTCTCCTCTCTTTATGTGTGTAAAATAACTAGTTAAATGAAAGATAAAAAAACAACAAAAGAAAGGTAATATTATTGTATCCATCCTACTCTGTTTTTAGAAATAATTACTTTGTTTCCTGAGGTACAAGAGATGCTATAAAATAGTTTCAGAGAAACAAAACTACCTTTTAGTTTATACACTATATATATATGGTTTAGTGAAATTCTTGATTATTAATTTTTTTCAGTGTTAGGTTATACAGACTTTCTGTCAAATTGAAAAGTAAAAAAATACAAATTCCATGGTTAGGAAAAATCTATGTAAATAAGTAACCAAATATCACCTCTTGTCTTTGATATGAAATTGATGGTTTTTGGACAATTATGTTGATAGAATACTGGGGGTGATGTTTTTTGTACAGTTATGTTAATAGAATACTGGGGGGGATTTTCAGTGCTTTTTCATGCTCTTCTTATATTGAATGATACAATGGTTTGTTTCTTGACAGTACTGGATACATGAGCAAGGCTATGCAAAAATACAAGAAAGAATTATCCAAGTTTAAATCCCAGAAAGAAAAGCTAAATTTATGGTGTACCAAGGGTTTGCCTACAGCTGTCAGTGATTCCGCATGTTCACTTCCTGTTTCAACATCACAGCAGGGAAGGCCTGTAACTGGCTGTATACAGCAGATGGGTTACTACATAGGTGAACAGGTACAGTTTTTTTTTCCTTTGCATTTTAATTTCCAATCAGTTTTTTATGATTTATTAGAGTCGAGCAAGTGTAGTTTTTCTCTGTAAAACAAAAGTACGGTAAAGTATGAGAGTGTTTTGAATGATAACTTTAAAGTCTAGAGTAGCAGAAACAAAAACATCCATAACCTGAGTCTTAAGACCATTGCAGAAAGTTATCACAATTCAAGTTTCTTCTCCTTCAATCAAACTTTTTAGATATTTCCATTTCAGTAATTTTTTCTATTAGTCTACCCAAGCAGTTATTAGTAGTTTGATGTATTATCTACAATTAGTTGTAAAATTCTTTATTTTAAGGTTGTTAAGCATAATATGGCAGTTATGTTTTTTAATAAAAAACATATTGTTACAATGTATAGATACAATGAAGAAGAAATTTTCCTGTTTACCTTTTGCATTGGATGGAGGTAATGTTTTCACCTCTGTGTGTGTGTGTGTTTGTCAGCAAGATTTCTCAAAAACAGCCGAATGAATTTGGACAAGAGTTAGTATACATGTAGTCTATGACCCTACTTAGAAGTGATTAGTTTTGGAGTATCAAGGTCACACTAATGCCACGAAAATCCAAACAATCCCTATCTATTAATTTTCCACACTATTTTTGCTCTATAACTCAGTCAAACAATTATCAGATTATGATGAAACTTGGTGGACATGTATAGAATATTATTCCTCATTGTCCTACCATCAATGGTTTGTGTCCTTTCATAACGACGGACATACAAACATATTTTTGTATTTTTTTGAGAGCCAAGTATGATCAACACTGCGTGAGTGACAGGGGTATGCGCTCTACTGAGTGCCCCTCTAGTTTTTGTATGTGTTTATTTATTTCAGCTATCTTTTACCTTTACATAAGCCAGTGGGAAAACCTTAAAAATAATGTTTTCCATGGTTAAGTACAGTTAGGTTCATTAGCTATTTTCTTTTCTTTGCAGGCCTGGTATAGCCTGGTGGTTAGGGTGCTCACTTTCAATCTGAGGGTTGTGGGTTTGAATCCCTGTCATATTGAACATGCTCACCCTTTCATTAGCATATCATGTGAAGAATTTTTATCATTATTTTTTCATTATCTTACCTAATCTAACCTAATAAGTTTCTAATTTTTACATTTTAGTTACTTTTGTAACAATAAATAAAAATATACATGAAAAACAAGAAATGTTTATGTTTGATCTCGTTTTTTTTTGCTATTGGTTGATGAAATTTAAGCCAACATTTTTATAATGATGGCTAATACACTAAATAATTATCATTTACTTGGATAATGTACCTAAGAACACAGAACATGGACAAAGCAAACAATGTCTTATAAATATTATAAATTAACTGGCATTCTATCTAAAACAAAGGGGTATTAAATTAATTCCCATAGCTGTTCGATACGAACATCACAGGATAAACTTTCAAACTGAAGATAAAATTGACAGTACTCTGTACTGAAGACAATGTAGCATAAATATTATTTGATAGATTAAAACTTTACATTTACTATTGGTTATAAATGATGTAGTATAAAATTTGTGAAAGAAAGAATGTGATAGATGTGCATGGGTAGATGGGTCTGATTTCTAGTTCATGACTCCATAAACAAATAAGATTGAAGACTATAAAAATTTGACTTTGTCTGAGTAATATGTATATTAAAATGAGTAATTTACTTTAGATTACATATGTCAAAAAGAAAGTAATTTACTTTAAATTACATATGTCAAAAAGAAGTGATAAATAAATTAGAGAGGGGGGGAAAGACCTAGAGCAGTGATTCTCAACCAGGGGTAAATTTACCCCTTGGGGGTAAAAAATTACATGGCAGGGGGTAAATAATTGATGTACCTGATGATTGAATAATAATTCAATTAAATTTCATTTTGTAAAATGTGTGTGTGTGTGTGTGTGTGTGAGAGAGAGAGAATGCTAAGAATGTGTGTGTGTGCGTGTGCTATTTTTGTGCAAACCTCAATAAATTTTTTTTTCTGACCTTCTTGTTTTTCTGTCCCTTTATGATGGCTATGAATTTTTTGTATGGAAGTAAGGGGGTAAATGGAGAAATACATCAAGCCGAGGGGGTTAATGATGGAGGAAAAGTTGAGAATCCCTGACCTAGAAAATAAATGTCACGATTCTCATACTTGTGAAAATTTCAGATTTTTTTAAATATTCATTTATAAAATTAAGCACTTAAAACTTACATTAAAACTTGATTTATTAAATATGTCTTCATGCTAAGTTTATTCGAATACATTGATAATATAGTAGTTTGATTAAATTTTAAATCAAATTCTGTTAAAGTAAGTGACATGAACACTTGGATCTGTTACGAGAGGATTGAAAATTTACCAAGTTATTTTTAAGATACCAAGTGCTTCATGTTTTTATTAATTTACCACATTAATCATACTGTTCTGTAACAGTAAATAATTCAAGAAGCCTGATAGTTTTAGGATGTATGCAGGATAATTCTTTCTTTTGAATGATCTATAAAATATTTATTCTTCAGCTATTTCAAGAAAAGACTGAGCTAACTCTTGAGCTTAAGGCAGAAATGGACAAAGCCTTAGAAGAAGCATGGCTAAGAGGATCAGAGGAAGCTTTTACACATTTGATCCACTTGATTCTCAGTGAAAATATTTCAGGTTAGTCTGATGGAGGTGTATTAATACCACAGAATTAAATCTAAGTCATGTTTAAACACGGTTGTAGTTAGGCTTTACAAAATCACAAGTTAAAAAAACTAAGAAGGCAATATTAAGTATGACAGCATTTGAAAATGTTATTTTATTTCCATAAATATAAGTTTATATTAAGTGAAACATTGTAGAATAGATCTTGTAAGGTATGAGTAACAGAATTATTTTTTTGTACAATATATTTTTGGCGAATGCTTTGATTGACAAAGTTATACTTACTCAGTGTACGAAGTCACTTTTTTAGTTGGTTCTCTATCAAATTAGTAACTTCACAGTTTACTTGGATGTTAGGCCATAACACTAAAACTAATGGTAAACTAACCACCACTGACTTGATATATTATTATATCTGTGCATGTATCTTTATGATTACTGAATTTTGTTTTGAAAAATTATTCAAATAATACTTCCACATTTACTCTACTGTTTAAAGTAATTTTTGAGTTTAATGACTTTTTTAAGTAGTATTTCTTTTATCTGCTACCTTATTGAATTGATAGATGAAGCTACTGAAACTATGAACAAGGAGTTCTAGAAGGAGTAATCATGCTAGAACAAATAAATGTGAAGTTAAACTTCTGAGAAAACAACTGATATTTCACATTTCAATAAACTTAATTGAAATTCATTCATCACAAATTACGGTTCAAAAAATTTGAAAATTATAGGTAGATTATCTGTGAAGCTCAACCAGCAATTAACATTTATGGTAACCATTTTGTTGTTGAAAACAGGAATTTTCAAGCCTATGACAAGAAAGTTTGTCTTGTAAGTTACCGAGACTGCAATTATCTTGATAAATAACTGCATGAAGGCAAGAAATGTTTGGTAACATTTTGGCTGTGCAAGGGATATTCAATCTCGTTGTTAATTACTTTAGATTACCACTAAATGCCAGTTCAGTTAGAAAGATTAGTTTGTAAAACAGTGCCTGTGCATTTAGCACAGACAATAATTTGACTATAAAACCAGGTGTGGCAAGTCATGTTTTGCCACCCTGTGCAAATGCTGACTGTGATGCCCAACCCCCATATCCATGATCTTTTGTCATTATAGAAATTCTACACAATTACGCCTCCAAGAACCTGCTGCACTGTACAAGTGCATGTGCTGCACCCCTGGTACAAAACATATCTGTAGTATAATCCCATCTAAATAAAGATAAGCTGGACATTGTAAATAAAACTAAGTTATCATAAAATATAGGGAAGATAGTTCTGTAGTAGTAATGAACAGTATTTATTAAATCTTGTATAAGTTGCATGTTGTACAGTACAGTTCTGTAGTAGTAATGAACAGTATTTATTAAATCTTGTATAAGTTGCATGTTGTACAGTACAGTTCTGTAGTAGTAATGAACAGTATTTATAAAATCTTGTATAAGTTGCATGCTGTACAGTACAGTTCTGTAGTGGTAATAATGAACAGTATTTATAAAATCTTGTATAAGTTGCATGCTGTACAGTACAGTTCTGTAGTAGTAGTAATGAACAGTATTTATTAAATCTTGTATAAGTTGCATGCTGTACAGTACAGTTGTAGTAGTAGTAGTAATGAACAGTATTTATAAAATCTTGTATAAGTTGCACGTGTACAGTACAGTTCTGTAGTAGTAATGAACAGTATTTATAAATCTTGTATAAGTTGCATGCTGTACAGTACAGTTCTCTAGTAGTAATGAACAGTATTTATAAAATCTTGTATAAGTTGCATGCTGTACAGTACAGTTCTGTAGTAATAATGAACAGTATTTATAAAATCTTGTATAAGTTGCATGCTGTACAGTACAGTTCTCTAGTAGTAATGAACAGTATTTATAAAATCTTGTATAAGTTGCATGCTGCTACAGTACAGTTCTGTAATAGTAGTAATGAACAGTATGTATTAAATCTTGTTTAAGTTGCATGCTGTACAGTACAGTTCTGTAGTGGTAGTAATGAACAGTATTTATAAAATCTTGTATAAGTTGCATGCTGTACAGTACAGTTCTGTAGTAATAATGAACAGTATTTATAAAATCTTGTATAAGTTGCATGCTGTACAGTACAGTTCTCTAGTAGTAATGAACAGTATTTATAAAATCTTGTATAAGTTGCATGCTGTACAGTACAGTTCTCTAGTAGTAATGAACAGTATTTATTAAATCTTGTGTAAGTTGCATGCTGTACAGTACAGTTCTGTAGTAGTAATGAACAGCCTTTATAAAATCTTGTATAAGTTGCATGCTGTACAGTACAGTTTGACAGACTAATCAGTAGTGTAAGTTACAAAAGAACTTGGATAAGATTACTACAGACAGTAGTATTACATGGGTAATTAATAATAGATACCCATGTAAATGCAGCAACCTTAAATGATTTTTGTTTCATTGTGAATGGACTTTATATATTGAGTTTACAGTGAAAATAGGCAATGAATTTAATGATGAAGAACCCACCCTTTAGGAAATAAAAGTTTAGAGATGACTTGAATGGATAATGAAAGAAGCTTTATTACAAATGTACAGTGTTTCGACATGCGTTTGTAACTGATGATGACATAATCTTGTCGAAACATTGTACATTTGTTACTTACACTAGCCATTCAGGCAATAAATTTATTATCTATTCTGCCATAGATGCTGATATGTGTCATATGATTCAAAGTGTAAGTATATAAAATTCAGTACACTGTATATAATAGATAGTGTATTAAGGACAGATTAGCACTTCTTTACTTTGTAACTCCTAATCATGGCAGGGCTTAAATAGTTTTTGCCCAAGGAGCCAGTGGCTTAGGGCAAATATTTTGGGTGTCAAATCCAATTGTTGGTTGCTACTTTGAAAAGCAAGGTGATTGCTTCCATATTCAATTACTTAAAATACAAGAAAACTTATTATAAAACTAAAATAATACAACAAAGAACCTTAGTGTTTGTACTCACCTGTCTGCTGACTCATTTTCTTTAATGTCCAAAAATGTTTTTTTAATGCAAATATTCTATATTAATACAGATTTTGGGGTTTGTTGTTGGTTAATGTATTCCATCCCTTCTTCTGTACTGTTTGCTGGCTTTAACAATGTGTGGATGTAAAGCAAGCAGTTTGTGTTGTAGCTAATCGTACCTCAAAAAGTGTTCATTGTGAAGACTTGTACAAAATGTCAGTAGTACAAGGTATGTGTGAAGAAATGTATCCATTCTTCTAAGAACATGATTTATACTTTAAAAAGAATCAGGAAAAACATTGGTAGTGAATGTAAAACTAGAATGCTGTGCACATGGAAGCTATGTTACTTAATTTATTGCTTAATGGTTTTACTTAATAATGTTCTTCAGTGCTGCCTGGGAACAAACACTTTCAATATAGATTATAAATTTCTCACAATTTTGATCATACAAATTAGCGAAGTTTTGCCTGAAAAGAAAAATAAGGAGACAAATAGGGCGTATTTGGATTAGTTTTTTGTCATACAGTATCCATTTTATTTTTACCCATTTTTGCTAAATTGGCATTATTTTTTTACACTCCAAGTTTTTTTTCTTTGTGTGTGTGTGTGTGCCTCACTGTATGCCACTTCATACAGTTTTTAATGGTATTAGTGATTATTTTGGTCGCAGTCTGGAGTCCTACATACATTCAGCCTTGACACACACGACTAACTACAATGAGAAAAAAAACTAAATGAAAATGTAACGAATTTGCGATAGAAAAATACAACTTTTATAGAGAGCATCATTCTGGATGCCAAATCTAAGGTCTTTATGGCAGCACTAGGTTAAGGAGCCACCTGAGAAACTGAATTAGATGATCCATAATATCGAAAAAACTATTTTAACTGAAAATACCCGTGATTAGCTGCTAATATGTCTTCATATATGATTAATATATTGAGATGTTTGTAGGTTTCCATTGCTCTTTGTGTGAAATTGTACTACATCAAAACTTGTTTTCTAAGGGTAGCCAAGACTATACCACTGTAGCAACAACTTATTAAATAGTGTTGCTTCAACCCAAGTTTCTAGTTTCCTATACTTTCATAGTTACATTTAAAGATTACTTGTAGAAGAACTGAACTGTTCTGTTGTGGTAGGTCAGGACACAAAGATTTCTCTAGTTGGAAAAAGATGCTATCTGCTGTTTATGCTAATTCTCTTTTAGCTTGATTTTACAATAGCTTTTTTCACTGGTTCTTCTAAACTGCAGTCTTACCTAACTAGTACAGTCTGTCTGACTTTGGATCCATCAGTTCAACCCAGTTCTGTTTTAGACATGTAACATACAATGGGCAAAGCTCCAGGTGATTACGTACTTTTGGTAGGCTCCCACTGTTTAGTCTGTTATCCGTTTAACTAATCACCATTTCAGTAAGTAATATTGAAATTATGCTGTTCTCTTTCATCATAGAACTGTCAGTACTTACTTTATTCAATTTAATATATATTTTTCTGTATGACTTAAGGTTTAAATGCTATTTTCTAGCTTGTTAGTATACTCCAGTATTCAGTCTTTCTTACTGACTATAACAACTGATTTCCCTCTGTTGAATGTAAGGTTCTTTTTTTTTGCTTGTAGTTGTCAAAAGCTTTATTTGAAGGTCATCTGAAATGATTTGTAATAATTATGAGAAATATTTCTTCACTTGTATCTGATAGAAATGTTGCTACTCAGTCATCCTTAAAGTAGAATAACAAACATGAGCATAATGTCTCTGACCAAAATAATTGGTACTAAACTTTTACTTAATCCAGATTTTTATTTTTAGTTCATGATTTAGTTACCTTTAACATGGGAATGTTTCAGTAGTTAGGTGAGGCTTTAATTGTAGATGTATTTGCTAGGGAACAGAATATGGTCAAGGCAACACACAGATGAAGAAGCATACATGCTTTAGATTACCATAGCCAGCTCTTGCTTCAAAAATTGTGCTTGTCCATCAAATTACTACTTCACAGACAAATGGTGGTCCATCACCACATTTAGTGGACCAAGATAAAAGGACCAGCATTAATTTTAGCATGCTGCATTATTACTGTAAGAACTTTTGAGTGAAAGTAAAGAAGAATTGACAGTAATATATCAACTACACTATATCTGCTACATCCATTGTTGACAAGGTCTTGGGCTCAATCAAGGGCTGTTCAGGATGGATGGGACATGACAAACAGTAGTGGTTGAGATGTTTTTTATGTTAGTAAATTGAATGAGAACAGAATTAAGTTGGTGAAGTATATACTTGTACTAATTTTATTTATGTCCAAGTTAAGGTAAGGACTTACTACACAGTATTATTTGTTTTTACCCAATACACTCTTAATTATTATTTTCTTCAATTAACTTGTTCATTATTCAGGAGAACTTGCAAACCAGCAATATTGAAACCTTTTGACAAAGCATCTGTTGGGTAAGATGTAAAGCAGTAGTATTGTTTTGTCACTTAAAGGTTGATATTTTAAGTATGCATTTTTATTAATTAATATGTTTGAAATTTAAATATATACGTGTTAGTTTTTAAAAATTCCTGTATTATCCAGCATACCAATTACTTCTATAGTTTTGGCATGTATGCATAACTTTTATTGGGCTTACAGTGGACTATCAACATAGCGAAACAAGTGCTTCTCCACTGATGATAGCATCTGGGAGAGGGAATACCAGTGTGGTTGAAGAACTTCTAAATTTTGGAGCTACAATTACCTTGAGAGCATCTAACGATTGGACAGCCATTGACTGGGCTCAGAAATTTGAACAAAAAGAAGTGTACGACATTCTTATGGCTTACTTGTAAGTAATATATATATTTATAAAATGTTATTGTAAAAAAAGAATTCAGTTCTTTAATAGAGTTAGAGGGTAGAATCCTGTAAAGACTTATGTACTTGAGAATGATTTGATCAGTGATCAAAATATCATACCTGTTCTAAAAAATATTCTTCCTTACTGGTAACTTGTAATTTAATAATACATTCTTACCTATGATTAGATTTATTCCGTTGATTCATCGGTTGGGTATTTCCACTGCTAATAATATTTTATTAGTTCTTTACAGTCTGGTTGTGAAAACAGTATTAAACTATATTTAAGTGCTAGAAGAGCATATTATCAATTGAAATACACTGTCTTGTTATACTTCACTTATATTCAGCCTCTGGGTTTAATAAGGTAAAAAGACACAATCATTTCTTGGTTTCAAGTCTTGAATTTTCCACAATGAGATAATCAAAGTTATTAGTTAACTTGCACATCCTTTTTTCAGAAAAATAGTATTAAATGTCCTTTACTCATAAAATTATCTTTAATAGTATTATAAAATCATTTTTGAGAAGGAGAAAAATACATTAAGATTATTAGACTCTTAAAGCATACTAAGATCATTGGACTGTTAAAGTACATTAAGATCATTGGATTGTTAAAGCACATTAAGATCATTGGACTCTTAAAGCATACTAAGATAATTGGACTGTTAAAGCACATTAAGATCATTGGACTGTTAAAGTACATTAAGATCATTGGACTGTTAAAGTACATTAAGATCATTGGACTGTTAAAGCACATTAAGGTTATTGGACTGTTAAAGCACATTAAGGTTATTAGACTGCTAAAGCACATTAAGGTTATTAGACTATTAAAGCACATTAAAGTTATTAGACTATTAAAGCACATTAAGATCATTGGACTGTTAAAGCACATTAAGGTTATTAGACTGCTAAAGCACATTAAAGTTATTAGACTATTAAAGCACATTGAGATTATTGGACTGTTAAAGCACATTAAGGTTATTAGACTGCTAAAGCACATTAAGGTTATTAAACTATTAAAGCACATTAAGATCATTGGACTGTTAAAGAACATTGAAATTATTAGACTGTTAAAGCACATTGAGATTATTGGACTGTTAAAGCACATTAAGGTTATTAGACTGTTAAAGCACATTAAGGTTATTAGACTGTTAAAGCACATTAAGGTTATTGGACTGATAAAACACATTAAGATTATTAGACTGTTAAAACACATTAAGATTATTGAACTGTTTCTGTTCTGTTTTCTAAACAAACTTAATAAAATGTTCTGGTTAAAAGATATATAAATAAATATGCCCCACCATAATATATACTGTAAAGAATATCAGATGATTTAGTTTTAACAGATATTTTGACATTACTTCTAACAAACGTATTTCACTAACTCTGTATGGTCCTAACTGAATCACTTTACTAATACATGAAACAAAAGCAACTTATACTATTTTCTCAGTGTTAGACTGGTAGTTTTATCTCTGACAATTGTAATTATACATTTTTCTCCTAGAACAAAATGAGGCTTAAAAAACTTAGTATATTTACACAAGTGGTAAGTATATCTAAGTTTATGTATGTTAAAAAAACAGAACAGCATAAAGCTGGAAAATATAGATGTATTCATGTTAATTGAGCTTTATAAGAGTAATGTTCCATGTCATATGCTGCCCTTGGAGCTACTTTCTTCATTACCAATTGTGCTTAATCTGATGGTCACAATTATTCATTGTTGCCCAACACCACAATTTCAGTTGTAGCAAGCTTCTGAAAGTATAGTGAGAACAATATTAAAACACATGTCTGGAAAAAAAAAACATGTCACTGTACATGGATGTCTACTTCAAAAATCATGTTTAAGCAAATCCAAGGCACAAGTGCATTAGAGCTAAAGCAGGGTACTTGACAAGCATGTTGGTCATACAGCTACTGATTTTAAGGTGTGATTGGCTTCTCATAATTGCTATTACACTGTAACAATAAATACAGTGGAAGAGAACCAGTTCTGTGTTAAACCCTGAATACACACAAAAAAGAAAAATTTCCTAAAGCTGGCATCAATATACAATGTTTGGTACTTTTTGAGAAGAACCTCTCAAGAATAGAATGAACAAACTGGAACAGCTTAAAATGAGCATTGTTGAATATATTAATAGTCATGAACCTAATTGATGCTGCAGAATATGTTTGTGTATGGCAGAGTTTTATCTATGTAGGATATACAATATGTGACAGAGCTGTTATATATTTCAAGTGGTTAGAAACAGTATTCAGAAATTGAAGAATGTAGTCTACTGAGCTTGCCTGTAAGGGATACTGGTCTTTCTATGCATGGTACAGTAAACAATCTCAATAAGTCTTGAGCAATTAGAAACATTTAATATTTTATTCCACTTAAAAACACCCTTCCAAGTGTACAGTTACATCTGTTTCACAGTGAACTAAACAATGCTCTAGATTATTCAGTTTCTTTGTGATTTAATTCTGAAAGCTTGTTGTTATTTAAGTCTTTCAGTGATTTACAGAATACCGTGTGACTAACCTTGATAAAATACAGCCAATTATTATTTTTACTAAATAAATATTGCACTGTACATGTTAATTTATTTCTTTATAATAAGTTATTACATCATGTCCAAAAAATTGTAACTGGAATATTTTTCTATTTTCTGTGGAGTTATCTTTAGTACAGGTATTGTGTTAATCTTTACTTTGAAGTATTGTGTTGTTCTGTCTGGTGTTGTAAGTTATATGCAGTTTTTTGAGTCACCTCATATTGCAGTGGACATGTATTTTGTTTAACAAACTTGCCACTATATAAATTATTATAATGAATACTGAGATTTATAAGATATCATAGAGGTATTCAGATAGCTTTTGTACATGCTGTTCAATATTTGACCAGGTTCATTTGTTCAAGATTTGCCTCCAATGCTATGCATCCTGCAAAACATGATGAAGGATTCTACGGTGGTATTTGCTAATTTTTTTATGCAGAAACTGTTTACTACCTTATTTTATAGATCTACGATGCAATACTCCTCAAAGCAACCAGAAGATGATCATGCTAAGGCTGGATTTGGATTGGACACTTCCGGGGAAGATAAGGAGCTTTTGGATATTTATCAGCATACTTTTGATGATGAGCTAGTTGATTATGAACTAATTCTTTGCCTACTTCATAAGATTCACTCTAGCCAAGAGGAAGGTATTAATTTTTGATGTATATATATTTGTGTTTGATACTTCTTGTATTCTTAGTTGCTATATGTATAAGGTAGCAACATCACAGTCTGTGGTCAGTTTTCATATAGCAACAATCAGATGGCCAGTTTATACTGTGAAAGCTCTTTGGTTGAAGTTAAGCAGTATGGGTAAAAGTCGTAAAGTTATATCACCTTTTAATAGATGAGAGATACAGGATTGGTTAGCTTTATGATGGATATAAGAAGTAGAATTGGTAAGCTTGGCAACAGCTAAGATAGAGAGCCAATTCACTTGTAATAGATTATATGTTTGGTTAGTTAGTTTATTCATTAAGTGGTGGCAGATTGTGATGTTGCTGCCTATCCTTAAGCTATAAATGTTATTCGTGGAAACTGTTTACAGAATTGAATTAAGCTAGTAAATAAAAACACGTAGCAGAAACATGCAGTATGTGAACTGTTCAAGAAAGAAAAAAAATTGCAAGTTTCAGTGAAATTTGTTGACATATAAAGTCTAAACTTAACATTACTTCCCCATTTTTTTTTTTTGGTGAAACTGTTAAGTGATTTATTTGTGCTCGTTTTGTTATTTTCTAGTATCCATGTTTAGGAGCTATAATGCAAAATATATCATACTTCATTTTCAACATTATCATAATTTATTTATAAAATAGTAATTCAAAATTAGTCTAGTTTGTCTCAGTTAATAGGCCTAAAACTCATAATAATAGTTTACCATTAAAAACAACATAGTAAACTTATAGGCCTAAGCATTAGAAAATATGGGTCTATCTAATACAGCTTATCTTGATGTTATGTCAGTGATAGAGTAAAGCTGTTGTGTTTGAGTGCAGTACAAATAAGGGTCAGTGGCTTTTTACTCTGCTTACATTGCTGTGCATTTAAATACAGATTGTCATGCTTATATAAGGAGTTATATGTTTAGACTAGGCTTACCAAAGACACCCTAGCTATCTTTATAGTTGTTTTTGTAAACATTTATATTCATTGAACAAGCAGTGTTTGGAGGTGTCTAAAATAGTTCCAGTTAAGTCTCTATTTTGTACAATGAAATATGCTGCTCTTTGATCAAATTTTATATTGGTTTATTCTGTAAGATGAACCAGCTCTTTTAAAAAAAAGTCCCATAAATTACATAACTTGTGTTTTCTATGAAAATAGGCTTTTTGAACTTTTCATGACTTAGTAACATAGACTATGGTAATTTTTCATTTAGATATGATCTTTGTCATTACCATGAAGATCAAATAAATTTATTGACTTAAATTTGGGGTCTTTGCATATATAATCTTCATAAAGCATATTTTGTAACATAATATAGAAGAAAAATCCCCCCTCCCCCTTCTTCCATGAAAATCTGCCAAGGGGAGATGGCAGCCTCCTCTTTTACTTTCCTCCACAGTAGTTTTCTATAACACTGGTGTTTTAAAATTCTTTCTACATTTATTCTGATTGAAAGGATTACTTAGTAGCTAATGAGATACAGGACTCGTTATTTTAGGTAATATATGTAAAACTCAGGGTCTAATTATATTTTACATATAAATGCAAGACTCAAGATAGATTTTACTGGGTAACAGTTACCAGAAATAACATTTGGTTACTTATCAACAATTTTCATGCCGAGGTTGAATTGTTTTGTAAAAGGTTTCACACATATAGAGTTAGGTGGTAATAGTTGAGATGTAAAGGTTTTGTTAGCTTTATAAAGGATCAGAAATAAAGTGTCTTGTCTGTTTAACAGTGTTTAGGAGTAATAACTATTGAATCCTATCAAAAACAAGATATATGTTAGTTATGTTGTCAGAATACGGAAGTGTGTTACTTTGTAGTAAGTAAACAAATACTCTATTTAAGAAAGAGGATTCTTGTTGTGTAATTGAAAGAATGAAAACATTTATTAAAATACGTAAGAGATCCAGATGGTCGAACTTTTTGGTATTTATTGAATGTGTTGATTTCTCTCTCTCTTAGGTGCTATTCTAGTCTTCTTACCAGGATATGATGATATTGTAACAATGAGAGAAAAGATTCTTTCTGATGACAAAAGAATCTCTGATGCAAGCAGGTGAGGCTTAGTAATACAGGTATTCTGGTATTGAAAATCTAGGCTCGTGCATTTCGTGTAGCCAAGTAGCAGGGAGTATTGAGATATATATATACTAGAATTTGAATTTTTTTAACCAGTTATACGTCATGCTTGAACTAACTTGTGTTAAACACATTAAATGGTTTGGCTCAGAGTTTACAAAGTTTATGAAATTGTCAATGTCACAGATTTTATTATTTGTTCATGCATCCGAAACCAATTAGGTTATTAAATCAGTCCTCTGCTTCAAAACAAAATATTTTAAATTGTTCAGACAGCTAAAAAATTAAGGTTATTGTTCATATGTGTAAAACCAGATAGAAAGTAAATTCTTACACATACTCTGTTTACATATTTCCTTGTATTTTCTAAAGATCTAAACATTCGTGTCCACTATTTGTACGTGTTCTGGTCAAGCTAGAGAACTTAGACTAGAATAGAATTTCATTGCATCCATGTGCAGTGGTATAAGTAAAACTAACTATAAAATCAACAAAAAGACTAGTGGTTAGAAAAATTCTGAATTGGTTATGGCTTTGAATAAAACTGTAGCCAGTTAACCGAGTTATGGTGGTGCTCCTAGTATATGCTACAACAAAGTCATTATTTTTAACAGGGAGAATGGCACAAGTTTTTATTTAAACTTAATGACGACTACTTAAAAGTATGTTATGTAATTATATTTACTAATTTCAATTCTTAAATAAAAGATTCCTTAAATCACAAAGTGACAACAATCACAATAATTTGATATGAAATCATCATTTTAATATTTCTTATAATGAGGTTGTAGCTATTATGCCTTCTTTATTTTTGCACCTTTATATTAGTATAGAACTTTAATTTCTCTGTGTAGTTAAAATAAAAATAAAAATTTACAGTGGGTTATAGCTGTTATAAAAAAATCACGTAGTGTGAGGGCTTTTACCAAACATGCTCATCCTTTCAGCCGTGGGGGTGTTATAATGTGATGGTAACTCCCACTATTCATTGGTAAAAGAGTTGGCAGTGAGTGGTGATGACTAGCTGCCTTCTCTCTAGCCTTACACTGCTAAATTAGGGATGGCTAGTGCAGATAGACCTCATGTAGCTTTGTTTGAAATTTAAAACAAACCAAACAAATGGTCAGTCATTATTTTACTATTTTAAGATTAATGACATTTTTCTGATTCATGGGAAAGAGCAAAAGTGAAAGCAAATGTGTTCATTTTTTAAATTTACTTTACAGATGTAACTTTTTTGTAATACATGTGGTTCTTTTGTTTAAATAATAGTTTTGTATATAACTTAGATGTAAGATTTTCAATTAGTATTTTTTATTTTATCATATATATTACCTTTGAAATATGTTACTTGTTATGGCAGAAGACACTGTTCCTCAAGTTAAGTGGCCATTTGCTCTGATTTTTCAGGAAAAAAAAAAACCTCGACATGCTAAGTGAATGTTTTAAAATGAATGTATTGCATATTTTAGGTATGTGTTATATACATTACATTCAAGTATGCAAAGCTATGACCAGAAATGTGTGTTCAAACCTGCACCCCCTGGTGTTAGGAAAATTGTGAGTTGTTTTTCTCTTTAAGTATTTTTTTGTTTTAAATAAATTAATTAGTTCTAACTCTTTATATGATATATGAGAAACTCAAAATAGATAATAGGAAAATTCACTATTAACATCTTGTTAGTTTCAAATAAATCATGAGATCAAAAATTTGTGATAAATCTTGTTTTTCCTACTCATTTATTTCTGTTTTGAAATTGTCATTGTTTAAAGATAAAACAAATAGTTGTAAGAGACACACGGTAAGTTTGCATCTTACCAAAATTATTTCAATAATTTTAAATCCCATTTTATACAGGTTACTGCTATACTTCTCAATGTTTCAAGGATGCTACTAGTGATTTCAAACTAGCATGTACAATACCACAAAGTGGTGCACGAGGCAGTAAAAATTGTATAAAATATCTAAAAGGACCTGTCAAAAATACAGAAAATGAAATGAGTCCAAAAATGTGCACATTAAAGAAACATTAAATGACCATTGAAAGTTAAAAAATAAATAAAAGAAAATATATGCTAAAAATTGTAAGCCTATTTTGCAGATATTTACAAATTGGAAAACTAAAAAGATTAGTTTTATTCTCTCCTTTTGTGTATATACCTTTATGTTTTCCCATTTTCCTTTATTTATTATAATTTTTACTTAAAATTTCCTGTTTCAAATAGTCTCATTTCTTACATTTTTGACTAGTTTTTTAAAAGGTTTTGCTAAGAATTTTAAACATTGCACCTTCTTTCTCACTTTAATTTTTAAGCATTTGAGTGTTCATTTTTTAAACTCTTGAAAAACATATGTAAAAGTTGGAATAATTCTGTTTCTAACTTGTTTAAAGTACATTTTATGCAGACTTTTAGAAGTAACTAATAAACTCCAGAAATATTATTTATTAACCCTTGTTATATAAGCACAAGTCTTTCCTCAAATTTAAATAAGTATCAGTTGGTAATACATAATTTTTTATCTATTATTTGCCAAATGTTATTTAAAATATCTGATTATCTTTGTATTCTTATATAGATACTTGCAACTAATATTGCAGAAACAAGTATTACGATAAGTGACGTGGTTTTCATCATTGACTGTGGTAAAGTCAAAGAAGTGAGCTGCATTTTTGTGTTTTCAGTTGTAAAATCTCTAATTTGTAACTTCAGAAATTCAGTTTATCAAAATAATCGTTTCTTATTGAAAATTATAGTATTTCGTGCTATAAATATTTATTTTCAGAACTTTTGTATTTGATGCATATTTGCTGTTAGTTTTATTAATAAAAACAAGATTATTCAAACAAAAAATTATTTAAAAGCACACTTGAATGTATTTGTGAATTAAAGCCACTAGGTAAAAACTTTTTAGTCAAAGATATCTTTCGAGAATAAAAACTGCCTCAGAACAAATAAAAAATAATTCTAAGACTTAATTAGATAGAATCTTAAAACAGTACAAATCTACCTATATTCATATGACAAATTAAAAATTCAAAAAGTTATATAGAAAGGAGAATAAATAAATAAATTGTGTTTAATTTGTCATAGAAATCTTATGATGCTCTGGTTGGAGTTACGATGCTGAAATCGGTTTGGGTATCTCAGTCTTCGGCCATTCAGAGACGAGGAAGAGCTGGACGATGCAGACCAGGTTTTTGTTATCACATGTTTAGCCGTACTCGCTTTCCACACCTACAGAGGTTTCAGCTTCCAGAGATACTACGTATGCCAATTCATGAGTTGTGTCTTCAGGCCAAACTTTTAGCTCCACCAAATGTTCCAATTGCTGATTTTCTTGCCCGTGCTCCTGACCCACCAGCTTTTATTGTAACCAGAAAGGCTGTCACATTATTGAAGGTATCTATGAATGTTATGTTTATGAAATGTTCCAGAAAGTTCCTTTCATGTGTTTTATCGTGTAATTACTGACTGAATCTTTTATGTTTGTAGCTTGAACAAGGCAATTACATCAAGCTTTGAGGAGCAAAACAATAATTAAACTCACCTCCAAAACGAAATATCCAGTTTTGGGGTTTGGGCTGAAATTTCAAATAGATCTGTAAATAACTAAGTTTTTGTATCTGTAATTAGTAATTATTCTTTACTTGGTACTCAAATTATAGCTAGTTGAAGGTCTTACACAAAGTTTCTCCTGAAGATTATCCACAGTTGGCTGATTACCCACAATAGTTCATTATATAAGTTTTCTTAGACTATTTATTTATATCTACTTAAAATTATTTTTATAATCATACTTCTACACATAAAACTTTGAAGATTATTAGCCAGTAATGGCCATTATAACAGTATCTGTTAGTAGCTGACTACCCAGTTGAAATGAAATGGTTGCCATACGTGTAAAATATTTAGAATAGATATCTTGTTTGACATGTCAGTTTTATTATATTTATATTCCATAGGGAACAGATAAAAAGTACAATTACATACAGCATAGTGACTAAGTTGCTAAATTTTGTGATTCTTTTAATAAGTTTTGTGATGTGTTAGTAGTAAGTTTATTCATGCACAAAGCTTAAATACAGGGTTTGTTTCCCTGCAGTGGACAAAGCATAGGTAGCCGATTTGGTAACTTTTTATTCAAACAAAAAAAACATTAACACCTTTTAATAGCTTTCAAATTGTAACTAAAATCAGTGCTCATAGCATTATGTCATGTTCATGGTTGGGCTGGAAATAGAATATTTTTCAAAATTTACCAAGTTTTTACTGAATGTGTAATGATATTCTAATAAATGTTTTTTTGCAATTTTGTGTTGTTGTTAAAACTTAGCAGTTTTTTTTTAATTTTGAAAATTGCGTTTTGATTTAAGTGAATATAACCAATAAAATTTGGGTTGTGGTTCAAAACTCAGTAAATTAAAATTTATTTACTGTTTAATGTCTTATTGTGTACAGATGATCTAATATAAGATGCAAACTACAGTATTTATATGTGATTTAACCCAGACTATAGATGCTTTAGACCCATGGGAGCAACTAACAGAGCTTGGTCTCCATCTCTTGGATTTACCCATTGAACCACGACTTGGAAAGATGGTGCTTTATTCTGTTGTTTTAAAGTGCCTTGATCCCATCCTCACAGTTGTTTGTGCCTTAGCTTATAAAGACCCATGTAAGTATAGTCATATATATATATATATGTTTTCTAAACACCAGTTGTTCTATAACAAACAATTCATATCATTGGAAAATGTTTTAAATTATCATCTGCTTTTACCAGAGTTAAAGTACTTCATAATTATTTCACTTGTAGCTTGTTTTCTTGTAATAGAGCTTTTGAAAGACATGTTATTCATATGGTATCCCATCAGATCATGCACATAGTAGCCCATGTATGGTATCCCATCAACTCATACACACAGTAGCCCATGTATGGTATCCCATCAGATCATGCACATAGTAGCCCATGTATGGTATCCCATCAACTCATGCACACAGTAGCCCATGTATGGTATCCCATCAGATCATGCACATAGTAGCCCATGTATGGTATCCCATCAACTCATGCACACAGTAGCCCACGTATGGTATCCCATCAACTCATGCACACAGTAGCCCACGTATAGTATCCCATCAACTCATGCACACAGTAGCCCACATATGTTATCCCATCAGATCATGCACACAGTAGCCCACATATGGTATCCCATCAGATCATGCACACAGTAGCCCACTTATGGTATCCCATCAGATCATGTATATAGTAGCCTACATATGGTATCCCTTTAGATCATGCATACAGTAGCCCACTTATTGTATCCCATCAGATCATGCATACAGTAGCCCACTTATGTTATCCCATCAGATCATGCATACAGTAGCCCACATATGTATCCCATCAGATCATGTATATAGTAGCCTACATATGGTATCCCTTTAGATCATGCATACAGTAGCCCACTTATGGTATCCCATCAGATCATGCATACAGTAGCCCACATATGGTATCCCATCAGATCATGCATACAGTAGCCCACATATGGTATCCCATTAGATCATGCACACAGTAGCCCATGTATGGTATCCCATCAGATCATGCACATAGTAGCCCATGTATGGTATCCCATCAACTCATGCACACAGTAGCCCATGTATGGTATCCCATCAACTCATGCACACAGTAGCCCATGTATGGTATCCCATCAGATCATGCACATAGTAGCCCATGTTTGGTATCCCATCAACTCATGCACACAGTAGCCCATGTATGGTATCCCATCAGATCATGCACATAGTAGCCCATATATGGTATCCCATCAACTCATGCACACAGTAGCCCATGTATGGTATCCCATCAACTCATGCACACAGTAGCCCACTTATGGTATCCCATCAGATCATGCATACAGTAGCCCACTTATTGTATCCCATCAGATCATGCATACAGTAGCCCACTTATTGTATTCCATCAGATCATGCATACAGTAGCCCACATATGGTATCCCATCAGATCATGCACATAGTAGCCCACTTATGGTATCCCATCAGATCATGCATATAGTAGCCCACTTATTGTATCCCATCAGATCATGCATACAGTAGCCCACATATGGTATCCCATCAGATCATGCACATATTAGCCCACATATGGTATCCTCTCACGTCATGCACAAAATAGCCCTTATTGTGAGACTTAAGTGTTATGAAGTGGTGTTTTGCCTTTGGAAAAAAATAGATAAAAGTAATTGATGATTTTCATTTGAAAATCAAATGAGTTTACTTGTTGAAAACTTGGAGAACCACTAATGTTTAAAAATTGTAATCTGAAAGCATTCAGTCACCTACATGCTGTACCACAGGTTTATGAGTTGAGCCATATTATTATATACTCTTAAAATTGAATGAGTATTTTCTGTTTATCATTATATTAACTATACCTTATTAATTGTACTCAGTAATCATACTTAGAAACTATGATTTGCTTTATTAGCTGTTTAAAAGAGAAATGTATTGGTCTTTTTATATCAAGGTTATCTTGGTCCTTAGGCTTAGGAAACAGTCCGAATTTTCCAGAAATAATGTCATATAATACTGTGTAACCAAGTTTTTTTACATTCAAAGAACAAAACTTCTGATTGTTAGTTTGGAATATAAGAGTCATAAGTTGTTTTACATTATCAAATAGCCAACAAAATGATATTAAAGTAATGCCTTATGTTTAAGGAAAACATAGTTTATCAACTTATTTATACCTATTTACAGATGTATGTTTAACATATGTCATTTTAAGTAATTGGTTTCTTTCCTTTCAGTCTTGTTACCTAACCAGCCTTCTCAGAAAAGAGCTTCTCATGTAGCAAAACAGAAACTTGCTGCAGATACTTTCAGTGACCACATGGTACTACTAAGAGCTTTCCAGGTACAATTAATATCTGGTTCAGATAGTCTCTCATGGATGTTGTTTGTAATCGAATGGTTTGCATTTCTTTTTTTGTATAGTGAGTTACGTCTCTAGTAGCGTAAGGTAGGAATAATTATTAATTTCTCATTGTTCCAGGCATGGCAGAAGGCCAGGAACGATGGCTACGAGAAGGCTTTCGGTGAAAAGACTTTTATTTCAGCTGCCACCATGGAAATGATTGTTGGTATTCGAACCCAGCTTCTCGGTCAACTACGAGCTTCTGGGTTTGTAAGAGCACGAGGTGGAGGAGATATCAGAGATTTAAATTCAAACTCTGAGAACTGGGCTGTTGTCAAAGCTGCTCTGTGTGCGGGAATGTATCCGAACCTTATCAGGGTAGATCGTGAAAGGCAGCAGTTGATTACACAGTGAGTTTTAAAGTGCACTTATATTCATTACTTTTTTTTCTAATGTGGTTTTTCTAGGGTTTTGTTTATTGACAGCCTTTATGCTAGGGTTAGAAGTTTTGCAACTTGGAAATTAATCATTTTGGCCTTTTTTTTTGTTTAAGTATTTTTAACAGAATTTCTTTGCAAATTTCAAGGTTTTCATGTTCTTTAGTGTAATTTTTTATATATATATATATATTTTTGACACTTTAATGAAATTTTGTGTGTGTGTATGTGTGTATTTTAAGTAATAATGGTTAAAATTAAAATTTATACTTTGTGTGACAACATTTGCTTTGTAATATTTCTTGGAATTTTTAATTACTTTTAATACTTGAATTAGGTTATTAACTCTTTCACAACCATTTTTATGCACTGTTGTACTTCTATGTTCAAAACATAATTTAAAAATATAATTATAATCTATTTCATATGTTTTGTGCTAGGAAATGGTGTAAAAGTAATATTGTAATATAATAATTATCTAGTTCATTTTGTAAGTAAAAATTTAAAAATGTATCTGAACTTTTTTCTTTTTTTACCTTTGTAATTTCTCTACGCATCTGTAGTGTTAACCATGCATCTTCTCTCTCTGTTTTTAGGATGGCTGCTTGTGCTTACATTTAATTCTACCAATAAACTATTTGCTCAGTTACAAAGAGTATACGATACAGTTTCAGTTATCTGGAGGCTACATAAGTTGTTCTATGAATTTATTGGTTGAGATTATATGTATAGGACCTCCCACCAGGGTCTTGATGAAATGTGTATCTTAGCTTTGAAAATAAATACTCTTTCCAGCTAAAAACCATTGTAGAAAAAAGGAAAAATGAAAACAAAAACATTGTAAACGACTTTCCAATTGTTCCTTATGGTGTTTTTTTGTCTTTTTAGAGGTTGTGGTAAGTGTTGCACTAGAATACAGTATGTTGATAATGGAAATAATTATAGATCCACAGAAGTGATACACAAACAGAAATCACAAAGAACAAGTAATGGCAAACAAATGGTGAATTTTTTTCAATTACATAATATATTATCACAGAAAATACAAAAAAATATAGATTAAGTTGTACAGTAAACTAGTATTTTTTATGTCAGCTCTTTGTTTTATACAGAGTATTACACTTTGTCTTAATGCTTCTATCACTTCAAAATTAGGGCTGGCTAGGCTGGCACAAATAGCCGTCAATTAGCTTTGTGTGAAATTCAACAAATAAACTTAACAGCACTTTTGAAGAGTTTTGATTTCCTACCTTGAGCACTTTTATTATTAACAGTGTCATTTTATGTTACTTCTTCAGAATCTCACATACACTTCCTACTGAAATACGAAGTAATTTGTTGCATAGAGTATCTTTGATGAGCCAGAACTTTGATTTCTGAATGCACATTTCTACAATATTTGAGTCCTGGGAGCCATGACTGAATGCACATTTCTACAATATTTGGGCCCTGGGAGCCATGACTGAATGCACATTACTACAATATTTGGGTCCTGGGAGCCATGAATGAATGCACATTTCTACAATATTTGGGTCCTGGGAGCCATGACTGAATGCACATTTCTACAATATTTGTGTCCTGGGAGCCATGACTGAATGCACATTACTACAATATTTGGGTCCTGGGAGCCATGACTGAATGCACATTACTACAATATTTGGGTCCTGGGAGCCATGACTAAATGCACAATACTACAATATTTGGGTCCTGGGAGCCATGACTGAATGCACATTACTACAAATGAGTGTAGTGTGACTACATGTACTTTTATAGACTTGATATTTTTTGATTGTTTGGATGGCAGGCAATGCAGCAGACCTTCCAATGAAAACCTATAGAAACCTTTACTTTCATTTTCTTTCTGTCTTTACTTTATTTTTTGTCAAAATGGGTCAAACATCTTTTGCAAACCTGTAAATTTGAAGTAAACATATATTTTTAACTAAAAACACAGCTGCAAAAATTTTGATATTGTAGTTATGATATTACTATGATTAACCAATATAGATCCATAGAAATACAATTAGTTTGCAACATTTTTATTGTGAGAATTATATTCAAATTTGATTATCAATATTATCAGAACTTACTTAGTAAAATTTCTGTCATCACACAGAAAAAAGGGAGTTTTTCTAAGGAAAGTTTCCGGGTGGAGGTGGTAGAGAAATTAAAATTTATTCTTAAATATAAATTATTTATATGTATAATTACCTCTATATTTGTGTTTATGAAGCCACAACTTGCTCTATATTTTCAGGAAAAAGGAATGTTTAAAAAATATTTTTTCAGTAGCCCACTGGAAGGTGTGTCTCACTGTCAGTTATCAACATATGACTCTACTCTGTTTCAGTTGATTGTCACATAACATATGGGTGGCATTCCCATAGTATTTACCTTTTAATCCCTTTTTTGATTGCTGTTCCCATAATTATTTCCAATAATTTAGTTTCCAAATGCTTAAGAAGCCAGAATTTTTTTTTTTTTTTTTGGTGGTTGCTAATCCTAGGTTTGTGTTCCTTTTGGTAACTATAGAAATATTGTTCTTTAACATGAATTCAAGTAGGAATATTTAGGGTTAGTGAGTATGGTGATGTGAAGTGGGATGTGTTCGTAGGCTTCTATTGATCATACAAAATTTATGTATTTTTCAGAGTGTTAATAATTTCATCAGTAGGTACTTTGTTTGTCTATCAACTAAAGTGGTGGTCTTTAGTCACTGATCCACCTGCCACTCCTTTCCTCCCAACTGTCCTACTGTGAACCACCTTTCTGCCTTTCTTAATTGGCTGTTTGACCATGGTTTGTTGGTCTCCACCACTTCTGGGTGGCATTGTTTACTAAAATTTGCCTTTTCTGGTACCACAAGGTTTTTCTTCCCCTGTTCTTTCCATTCTCTTCCATTTCTTTCTTCACTGACCTTCTCCCTTGACTGACTGATTTCTTAAAGTGGTTTTTCTATGCTCTCACATGTGCCCTGTTTAAGTTGTTTGCTTCTTGCTCTTTGTACCGCTTGTTTATTTCCTTCTCCTTGTCTGTGGTCATCACTGTTTAAATGTCTGTGCTACTGAAGCTTCTTGCACACTCTTCCACTGTACTTATATACTCCCCTACCCAGACTGGTCTTTCCTTCCTCAGCCCTTTGCTGTTCAGGAGGATAACTGTCTTTTCTCTCTTATCTTCTTTCTTTCTGTCTTTCACCTCTATCACTGTTCCAGACCTGATCAACTCCTGTGTCCTGTTTGGGTTGGTTATTGTTACTTATTGCAGCCATTTTCTTTTTTGGAGTTCCTGCCATTGTCTGTTTTTACTTTGGGACCCAAGCTCTTTCTATTCATACTGGATGGATCTGTCAGCTCATTCATTTTGTTGGATCTGTCAGCTCATTCAGTTTGTTGGATCTGTCAACTCCTTTAGTTTGTTGGATCTGTCAACTCCTTTAGTTAGTTTATTCTTCACTGGTTGTGGATCCTCCAGGCAGGCATTGGATGACTTTCCACACATTTGTCACTCATTCTCTTCACCATCTGGCTGTTCCATCTCTTTCAGGATTCCGACTTCCACTGATGGCCATACTTCAATCAATTCAATGTCTTTGAAGTGTGTAAGCATGTTTCCCTTCCATTTCTCTCCCTTTCTCTTAAACAGGATCCTATCAGGTGGTTGGCATTGCAATTGGTATCGAACCAGGATAATGGAAAGTATTCAGCCCGTCCATCATGGCTCTACCAGAGCCCACTGTGAGATAGGGTATGCTGCAAGACTACTTGAGTTATCTTTATAGTCTACAAATGTACTCAATTGTCTGATCCAGACCATACCAATTTCATGGACTATCATGGAAAACAAAACTAGTACCAGGGAAGTGTCTGCCAACTTCTCTGACTTGTCCACTTTTGAAAATAAGAGTTTTGCAGTAACCCATTGCACTGTCTCCAGTAAAAGATCTTTCCAACTGGTGGTTTCATGGGGATCTTGGCACTTCTCCAGGTCTCCCCAACTTGAATTCTGACCCCCTATTTTTTTCAAGTGGAGCATAGGAAACCCTTGCCACTGGGGTGGTAATATGTGGAGAATCCTCACTGGTTAGGATTAGCACAGTATGGTAAGAAGTTGTGACATTGTCAGTGTAGTATGGGGCACCTATCACTCAAATTATTCTCCTCCTCCTGCAGCCAGAAACTGTCCAGTAGAGTTGAAGTGAGCACACACCATACGATCTGATTGCACCCTAATCACACTACACATATTGACTCACTGACCACTTTTGTTCAGGTGCTTGTTTGGTCATGATCACATTACACACATCCATGTGACTCTTCAGGTTCTTTTTGCTTTTCTCTTGGGCAAAGAGTATACGGTGGTCAAGACAAGGTGCTGTTTCCTACAGATGCATCCTTATGGAACCTCTGCCATTGGGTGTCCCAGTCCATGGGTGCTTTCTGAAGGAGCTCATCTAGATCTAATTTTTGAACCTGCCCCTCCACCAATTCAACATGGACATCTTACATTTCTGTATGCAGAAGCGTGTTATTGCCTATGAAGTTAACATTTTTCTAATTATTCATTATTCACCTCTCACACATTCCCATCCATCCTTTCCACTTCCAGTACACCCTTTTTTAATTGCCTTGTCATTGCACATGGAGGTTGTGTAACCCTCCTATTGGTGGAGGGCTATTGCTGCATTATGACATCATCATGCACCAGTGAAGTTCACATTAAACACGTGCATTTAGGTTGGAATTAAGAAATTTCATAGACATACTTGCAAGAGAAGTAACACTTGTGTGTGTAGAGGTGAATATCTATAGGAAATACGCTTGCAGATTAGGAAAATGTTAACTGTCGACCCAGTATTGAAAAGTTTAATGGTTTTTAAATATGTATGTACACAGAAGTACATGATTAACCTCTCATTTCATGGGATGTAATTATATTCCCTTTGTTTTGACCTGTTTTTGGCAACTTTGTTTTGAAAGAAAAGAAGGTTCGTACGCTGTTGATATTTTACAAGGTATTTACTTTTCAGACAAGAAAGCAAGGTACGTTTCCATCCCTCCTCGGTCATGAACAGGTTACCAAAATCTTCAAGAGAAACCATTGGAAATGCTCATAAGAATACTGTTTCTTCTCTTCCATCTGATTGGCTTGTATATGAAGAGATGACCCGAACTGGTCATTTAGCTTATGCTCGATGTGTGACACTTGTGTCTCCAATTACAGTAGCTCTATTTGCTGGACCAGCTCGTCTGCCATTAGATGCTGTTCATGAACCTGAACAAGGTAAATTAAGTGATTTGTTAAGTAGTTGTTAAGTTAATTTGTTGGAAAGGGCTGTTTTTGAAATTCTATTTCTTGTTAATAAAAATTTGAACCTTTTAATACGTACTAAGTATGTGTTAATGGGATCATTTTATGAAAGAAAGAAAGAAAAAATCATACACTCTCATGAAATAATATTAATCTTAATATCTATGTATTAACCATATGCATATGGGAGGGTCAAAGTGTGCATGTCAAGACCTTTTTTTTACAGAGTTATATTTAAACTTTATTATCAGTGTATTTCAATAAGCTTAACATCAAAACTTAGTTTGTAATAAAAGTTTTTATACTGTACGACTTTAATTTTGTAATTTCAAAAGGAAATATTTAAATTCTCAATCTTCACTTCTCTGTGTCATGTGATGTATCTGTGCACTAAATTGCCCATTTTAGATTTTCTTTCTACTCTTATGTGATTTTCTGGGTGTCCAACTAATTATAAACTTATACTTTAGACATTATCAAGGCAGAATATAAAACATGGGATTAAAATATAGTAAACTCAGGCAAGATTCCAGTTAAGGTAATGTCTTCTAATACAGTTGTAAAATGTATGGAATAGTTTACCGTCAGGTATAATATCACCCGCAACATTGAAGGATTGTAAGAGGAGACTGGATAAGTATCTTAGTGATCAGTGTTGTACATAAGAAAAGGGATTTCTGTTTGTAGCTTGGAGTAGGATGATAGTAGAAAATGGGACAGCCTAGATGGACCTGGTATTCCTTTGTTGAAAGAAATATTTGTATGTATATTTTACAAATAAAAAGATGCAAAATCTTTTGTCAACATCATATTACAATCATTGCGAGGAGAGGGAAGCCACTATAACCTTTAAATAAAAGTCCAAATATACAGCTTTTGAGTGGAATTTTTATTTTTATTTAGCTTTTTTACAACGTTTCGGCCACTCGTGTGGCCATCATCAGGTAACTGTTGTGTTTTGTGGGAAATACTGTGTGAGCAGTTTGTTCTAATTTAGAAAACATATGTGCATAGTCGTGTTACTGAAGTAAGATATGAATCAGTCATGAAAACTTATAAATTTATCAGATACATTTTCTTCACTCGCAAATTAAATAATTATAATTTTTTTAACAAAAAAGCTTATCAGTAACAAAACTTACAGGTAAAAGTTATTTTTTTTACAGGATGTTATTAAAAAAGTTCAAGCACTCTTTGTTTAATGTTTAGGTCGTTTTGATGGATATATGGAAGAAAGTGATAGTGAAGAGGAAGAAAAAACTGAAGGTCCAAAGTCCATTTTTAAACTGGATGAATGGGTCTGTTTCAAAATTGAACCTGAGGTTAGACAGTTTATATATGTGTATTTTATTATTTATAGAATTAAAGAATTTTATATCCCTATTTACATATAGAAAGAGTGCAAAATGATTGTGGTAAAAGTTATATAATATGTTTTTAATAAGCTTTCTAATATAGAATTCTTGAATTTGATAAAAATGCAACATGAACAATTCTGAAACTCAACTAGGCTTAAATGTCAGATTCTATTCATTTCAACTATCACTCTAGTAATCATGTTACAATACTAGATAAGGTTGGCTTTATAATTATAAAGGCAAAGAAAAATAACAACCGGGTGGTGGTTGTTAAGTCTGTTTTAACAGCTTCAGTTTTCAGAAGGAAAATGGGTAATTTACAATATGTTCGTTTCTTCGTGTGTACTTAGTTTCTTAGTTATTTTCCAAAAGAAGGTTGTCAGAAAGGTTAAGAATTTGTTTTATTTATCAATCAACTTTAATTATCTAATCTTAGTCACTCAGCCAATTCAAAGTTTTTGAATTCAAGTGTCAATATTCCACTTCCTTCAGTTTTTTTCTGTCTTTCTTTACTAAATTTGAAGACATTTGAACTACAATGGGGAGTTTTAATTACTGTTGTGCATCAGATGATCATTAACCCTTTCCTAACCAGATGGATATTACTGACATTGTCTTTATTTTATACCTTCCCACATTGTACATCAGGGGATCATTAACTCTTTCCTGACCTGATGTATGTCACTGACTTCTTTATTCTATACCTCCTCACATTGTACATCAGGTGATCATTAACCCTTTCTTAACCAGATGGATCTCACTGACATTGTCTTTATCATATACCTCCTCACATTGTACATCAGGTGATCATTAACCCTTTACTTAACCAGATGGATCTCACTGACATTGTCTTTATCCTATACCTCCTCACATTGTACATCAGGTGATCATTAACCCTTTCTTAACCAGATGGATCTCACTGACATTGTCTTTATCCTATACCTTCTCACATTGTACATCAGGTGATCATTAACCCTTTCCGAACCAGATGTATGTCAGTGACATCGTCTTTATCATATACCTTCTCACATTGGAAATACGTAACCAAATTACATGAAACTTATCACTTGCTAGTTTTGGTTTTAAAAAATTCATATAATTTTATTTAGTATTTCTGTCATTTTTGTGGATTGTGAAATTTTACTAATTTATCTTGCGAGACACTGTTTTAAAAAAACAACTAAAAAAATTCTTTCATCCATCTTAGAATTTCTATACTTTTATCATTCACCAGAATGTTCCATTTCATATATCCAGTCAATTTCAAACTGATTGATATTCATGAACATGTTTATTTGGATACTTTATTATGCTGTTTGATTAGTTACCATTTTTATCTATAAATCATAAAAAGCAAACTGACAAAGATGTATTGGTGACATAAGACTTTATCTTTCATAAATGTCATCACCATTACATTTTTTGAGGCTAGCTATCATGATTTTTTTTAACAGTGTTCTTGGCTGAGATCATTTTACAGGGTTTACATGAGATAAACAGCTCTGGTTTGCAAGTTTATCCATGTTGACTTAAGTATTTTATAATTTACTTTGTTTACTCATATTGAAACTTTAACTGTAACTATTTTCAAAGATAAGCTTCATTAGTAATTGTTCAGACCACATGCTCTGACATCACGAAATGGTGGCAACTAAAGGCTGTAATAATAAAGCCACTAACAGAGAGGGAAAATCACACAAGAAAAAAAAATATATGGATTATTGTGTTCTCAAGGGATGGGCAGAACATTTTTTTAAATTCAATTTTTTTGTGTATAAGCTGCGTAAAAATGAAAGTCAGAACACAGCTTTCATATTTTGTGTATGAATTACACTAAGTAAATGTGACAAAGTGATAAGATATAAATTTTAAAATATTTTGAAGTTAAATATTTTTCAAATAGTTAGAATTTTTATTTTCACTTAAACTTTAGAAATTTGATATGTGCACTTACTTGTGGCAGAGTTAAGTCATTCACTGACGTAAAAGGACTTTGAGGAATGTTTTAGTAAAATATGTTACTGAAAATTAAGAATTAACCATATGATAGCAGTTTAAAAATGTTTTTGTGCAATGCTTTATTCAGTTTTATACATTCATTAGTTCCTTATTGAAGATAGGCTCGGCATGGCAAGGTGGTTAGGGCACTCGACTCGCAATCTGAGGGTCGCGGGATCGAATCCTTGTCCTACCAAACATGCTCACCCTTTCAGCCATGGGGCATTATAATGTGTCGGTCAACACCACTATTAGTTGGTAAAAAAATAGCCCAAAAGTTGGCAGTGGGTGATGATGAATAACTGCCTTCCCTCTAGTCTTTCACTGCTATATTAGGGATGGCTAGCACAGATAATCCTCGTGTAGCTTTGTGCAAAGTTCAAAACAAACCAAACCAAACTGTTAAAGATTTTATCTCTGGAAGGTGGATTGTGTTGACACACTTAGTAATCAAAGGTTAAAACACGTTATACATAAAAATTATTTTTGAAAAGTTTAAAATTTGGTAGGAAAAAGTATATTTCTCTCAGTATTTTCACATCAATAAAATTATATAAAAAACGTTTTAATACACCATATAATGATCTGGAGACTGTAAGTTGATTATTTTGCATGAATTTGGTCACTACAGCTTTCTCGTTTGAGTTTAAACCTACGTCAGAAGTGGCACGCCCTCTTCCTAAGAAGAATGCAGTCACCAGCCAAACCATGGTCTCAGGTGGATGAGGCTGTTGTGCGTGCTATTGTGGGGGTCTTAACTGCTGAAGAGCAGGCTCTTGGCCTACAACAGCCAGCAGGTATTGGACAGCGTCCCAAACCAATGGCTAATGACTTTTGTCCACCTGTTCCTAGTTCAAACCAACAGACACCAATTGGTCAGGCTCCTGGAGCATACCCTATCCAGGGGATAAGTAATACACCTCTCAGGACAAGTGCCAGACATGGATCTCTGGAATCTGACCCATCTGATGACAGCTGGTCCAATACCGTGGACGCTAGCAGATATTCAGCATCGTTTCCCGGAAGCAAGCCTTCCTTTGTTCCTCTAAAGAAAGGAATTGTGAAGAAACGTAAGGTCTATGTTAAGTATGGTCATTTGTCGAGATGTAAAAGCAATAAAAAATTAACAAATGAAATATTTTTTTAGGCTCAAAGTGTTCTACAAAAATAATATAATATATTAACTTAAAAATTAAAATAGAAAGTTCAGTGATTCTTCAAGAAATATATTGGTAGAGACTTCTGAAACCTATACCTTTTGGTTGGTGTAGTTCAGTATTACTTAAAGCTCATTAGTAATAATTTAATTTGAATTCATCATCACTTGTTTAGAAAATAACTGTTTTTGTTACAATTTGAGGAAGATTTTGATAGTTGTATGGAACTTAGTTACCTACTATTTTATGAAGTGAAACATCAGGCTGTGTCTTAAAAACTAGTAACAAGCTTTTATTTAGGCACAATCCACTGTAGAGAGCGATGTAGATATCTTTGACCTGCTATACTTCCAATAGTTTGAAGTGTTACCCACCTTAAATGTACTCAAGAAAGTTTTCCTTCAGTCCTACTATATTCTGAAAAAGGGAAATTCTGTTTCCTTTCAAAATCTTCGTTAAATTGTTGTTTCATCTCGTGCAGTAAGAAAATGATGATGGCCATACAACTATATGATAGAGCAGTTTAGTTTCTAATATTCCTGTGTTTCTTCCTATTACTAGTATTCAGATATATTATCAGTAATGCAGGTTTACAGTGTAATATCTGTTGGTGTTGTTAGATTATATACATTACCTTATCTTTTTTTTTCTCCTTTTTTTTGATGCAGTAAGTAAGAAGAAATATTTTATTGGTACAGTTGATTTTATTACTTTTACTTACAAACTTGTCATTGGCTTTCTTAGGTTATTCAAGAGGTTCTGATGAAAAATCAGATACTTCATCTGTCCGTTCAGCTGGAAGTGGCAGTGGAAGCACTCCCATAAGTCCTTGCCACAGTCCTGCCCCACCTAACACTAGCACTACTAGCTCACTCAAAGAAAAATCTGAGTTGTCAGTGTTTGGTTTACCGTCGAGTACACGCTATTTTATCATCAAAGCCAGTAGTCTCAGAGCCATTGATGTGTCTGTAGCAAATGGCATCTGGGCATTTACACCATCTACTGAACGCAAGCTTCTGTGGGCCTTAAAGGTATACATGAAAACGTAAAATTATTGAAATTTTATTACTGAATACAATTGTGAGTTTTAATGATTGTTTAAAATAAGCTTATAAGATATAATTATTACAAGTTTTCAAACATGCATTCAGGAATGAGGTATCTATGCAGTTTGAAACCATGTATATTTCATGACAGTGCAAAGAACAGTATACTCACCCATATTCATGTGTTTCAGGATGGAAAAGAGGTCTGTCTTGTATTCTCAGCTCAAGGAAGTGGACACTTCCAAGGCTATGCTCGTTTGACTTCTGAAATTCAGGAACAGAGATCTCCAGAGTTTTGTGCTCCAAATCTAGGAAACTGCTATAGAATAGAGTGGATGAAGCGGTAAGTATAGTGGTGACTTTTAAAGGGAAATTATCACAGATTGTATTTTAACAACAGAGTAGAGAAGAAGAATTTGTCTTGTCAATTGTCTTATAAAATAATTGAAGCAACCTGTGTGGACTTTTGACAAAAAAGAGACAATTATTTAGAGCTATGGATACAACTGTGGTAACCAATGGTGTAACGTAAGTGAAATTATCACAGATTGTATTGTAATAACAGAGCAGAGGAGAATAATGTATCTTGTCAATTGTGTTCTAAAGTAACTGAACCAGCCTATGTGGACTTTGACGAAGAAAGACGATTATATAAAGCTCTAGATACAACTGTGGTGACTAACTGTGTAACAAACATTTATATATATACTTTTGATTTTTTTAATATATATTATTTTAAAACAAATGGACTGTGTGCTGTTTGTCTGTTGTTGAAATTTAGCGACAACAATCACAGACACCTACTGTAAAGAATCCTACCCATACATATATAAAAACCTGACAAGCTGAAAAAAAATTATCACTATAGAATAATGTTTCCCCCTTTTTTCACAAAATGGTTTCTAACTCTGCATTTTATAAAACATTCAACAACTTCAAAGAACCTTATTAGTGATTTCTTTTTTGAGCTACATTGTACAAATCAATTAGTTTTGTAGCTAGTATGAATTTTGGAAATACTTTACAAAATTTTATGTTGAAGCTGGATAACAGATAACAATGTTTTGATTATATCAAATATGATTTTTTTACATAAAAAAATCTTCAGGCATCTCCCAATTTGACTCATGCTTATAATGTTTTTCCTCAAGTAATATCCTTGAAAGTTTCAAATTAATTAAATCAGGGTTTAGCTGACTAATAATATATCTTACTGTATAAACTAGTTAACTGAAAAGTATGTTTCATGTCATTGTTTTTTATTATCATTATTAAATGTACTTTAACGTAGGAAAAAAGTAATAAGATTGTAGTTGATAATTCTGCAACTGAATTACGTACATGTCCGATCACTTTGAAGACTTTCTTGGTGTATTTCCAAAAAATCTCGGTAATGTCTGTGATATTTTGAAATGTAGTGCCAAGATTTATTTTTTGTTTGCTTAAACTGATTTGTGTTTTTATATATTATATAATCACAGACACAAATTATTTTAAACAATCTATTAAAACCTGCTACTTTGTCTTAAAACTTTTTATCCTGATGAAGACTATAAATGAACATTTCATCTTATGAAAATAAAATGATTTTATGCTAAAGAAGTGGATTTTAATACATAATTTGTTAAAGTCTTTATTATGCTGCAAACACAAATGAAATTTTAGGGTGAGTAATTTTAATTTAGGGAGAAGATAGTGTGAATGAAATGTTAAACCAGCCTTAAAATTTGGTATAAAAATCACATTAAATGGAAATGTCTTTTTCCATATTCCTTTTGGTTTGTCCATTCTGGATTCAAAATTGGAGGCATTTGAAAATAGAATTTCTGAAATACTATCTTTACACACTTTGAAGTTAGAATAAGAAATGAACAAAATAAAATAACCTCTGCAGTTGACATGTATTTTATCATAGATTTTAGGCCTTTTGTTTCTAATGCTTCATCAGTTGTCACTGTTTAAACCATTACTGTAATGTTAAACAGCAGTTATGTTTGTTTTAAATATAGTGCCAATCTTCCATTCCAAGTTACCAGGCAGCTACAGAATCCATGGAATGAAAACCGAAAAGTACAGATTAGCCGTGATGGACAGGTAAATTTATAATGTAATAATTTCTAAAATTACCAATAGAAATATTTTTAGAATCATTCTTCAGTTTTGATGTTCTCTAATCTTGTAGGAGCTAGAACCTAGTGTTGGTGAAGCACTCTGCAAACTCTGGGACAAAATGGGGCCGTCAATGACTAAGTCGTGGCGTCCGGCAGAAAACCAACCTCCTATTGGCCAGTTTTCTTCCTATGGTGGAAGAGATACAACACTTCTGATGTCAGGAGGAGGAGTTAAAATTTTGCCAAACAGTCCTTGGTTGACAGGAAATCAGCCATCAGGGGTTGTCACAACAACAGCATGGAGCACTGGTGGTCAGTGATTAAGACGGAGGGAGCTGTGTGCATAATATATTTGTTGGACTATATAAATTATAGAAAGAACCCTAAATACGTATATAGCTGTACCTTTCACTACAATTTCTTATTTACTGTTAATGCTTGTAATACCAAAAGTAATATATAAATTATTTCATTAATCAAAGTATTGTTGATCAGAGAAATAAGAGTATACTTTGACTTTGTCGAATTTGAGTTATTGAAGTGTGTATACTGTATACACTTATGTGATTAGAATTTTGAGTAGGAAGTAAAAGGTGAATTATTCAGTTTCCAACTTTTTTCAAGAAACCTGTCCATTAATTTAAGATCTGTGATTGAAGAAATTTAAGAACTATCTCTGTTTTATTAGCTATTTTTTCTGTTGTTTTGATCAATAGAAAGAACCTCTTGCATATAACTGAAACCTTAAAAGAAAATAATGCTACTTGTTTCCAAGTCTCAAACTTTAAAATAAAATAATGCTACTGTTTCCAAGTCTCAAAAGAACTTCAGGAGTTTCACTACACAAATACAAAATGGATATAACAGTCTTTACAAGTCAGGTATGGGCAGAATTATAGTTAATAATTGTAAATGAAATACAGTGGTTAAGAACATTCCTGTTTTAACCACCTTACCTCCCTTTTATTCAAATCGTTTAACTAATAATTAAACACTAAAAAATGATTTCAACTATGAAGCCTAACTTAAACAGTATGAATTTTTGTAAATATAGAGGGAGTACAAATACATCTTGTTTGTTTAGTTCACTCCTATATCTTGTGGTTTCTAATTAATAAAATTAATATGCCTTTGAAACCACAATTATTTGTTATTGCAAAAACAAAGTTATTTTTGTACATGTTTTGGCCACATTTGTTTTTGCAATAATGAATAATTTTGGTTTAAGCGGTGTATTAATTTTATCAATTCTTGTTTGTGGCTATTCTAGTTTAAGAAAAAAAAAACACGTAAGATGTTATGTGTAGTGCATAATTCATGTGTATTAGCATTTCAGTTCATTTTTAATCTATTAGTCAATTAGCTAATTCACCAACTTCCAAAACATCCATTTACCTCACATTAATCCATTGTAATTTATATCTGTTTACCAGTATATTGTGGGTTCAGTATAGTTAATAACATTTCATTTAGGGCAGTATACGTTCTGATTTATTAATCTTTAGTATTTCAAGATTGTAGGATTACTAAGTCATTGAACTTTTGTTAAGGTTAACTAGTATTTCAAAATTGTAGGGTTACTAAGTCATTGAACTTTTGTTAAGGTTAACTAGTATTTCAAAATTGTAGGGTTACTAAGTCATTCAACTTTTGTTAATGTTGACTGCTATCTCAATATTGTAGGGTTACTAAGTCATTCAACTTTTGTTAATGTTGACTGCTATTTCAATATTGTAGGGTTACTAAGTCATTCAACTTTTGTTAATGTTGACTGCTATTTCAATATTGTAGGGTTACTAAGTCATTGAACTTTTGTTAAAGTTGACTGCAAGCAAAATATTTTATTTGATTTAACAATTTGTTTCCTGTGTAGTAAAGACAACGTTTTTTTATATATGTAAAAAGTTGTTGGGTTTTACGAATAATTGTGAATTTTGGTTAGTAGAAAAAAAAAAGGAATTACTTGTTAATATGATATTAAGACAAAAGTTTTTAAAAGTAACTGATGTTTGAAAATTTAATTCCTAAATTAGTGGCTTGGATCTGAGAGATTATAGACTTTTAACACTAGAGCAAACAAAATTGTATTGTATTCAGATGTTCAGACTACTTGTTAGTCATAGTTCATGTGCTCAAATTTAGACAACTCTTTTGGTGGTTTTTATAACTTGAATGAAATATTCACAGCATCATTAAACCAGTATTATATGGAATTATCCGTTTTGTAGTTAAACTGTGATGTGTATATTTAAAGAAAAAAAATTCTTTTTTTTTAGCCATTCTCAGGACCAAAATTCACAAATTAGTAAAAAGCATGCAGAAGAAAATGTTTTGGTTCTTGGATTGTGCTTTATTAGAAAGCTGTAATTTTCTTTCTTTGTTATCTTTTCTTTCTATTTGTACTAAGTAATTCACATGTCTACCTTTTTTTTTTTTTGAGTGTTGAAGAAATTTTGTGTGCTCAAGATGATTATCTGTCAGAATTATTTTTTTTCATTATCCACTAATAGTTGTCCAAACTAGTCCACTATTTCCAGAGCACTTAATTTCTCTTCTTTAACTGATTCTGTGTGTGAACATAAAACTTGCAGGATTCAGAATAAATTTTAAAATCATTAGGTTTTTATTTAGGGTGTATTTCAAAAATGTAATGACTTTATTCATCTGAAGTAAAATTTACATTAAAATGCTTAGGGCTTTGTTTTCCCCACAGCAGGTATTGATTTTATTGTTTGGTGTTGTAGGTGATATTATGTAGATAACACAAGGATTTGCAAGTTTCATCCTAGTTTTGCTGTGAATCACATTTGTATGACTATACCAGTTTTCTTAATGATTTTCAATAAAATGTATTCTTCGGGTACAAAGTGGTTGGGTGCTGTTCATTCCTGATGTGTTGGAACTGTAATTAGTTTAGTTTCTCAATAAATAACAGTTTGGTTGTAGTGAGATGTTATCTTTCAGTAAAGTAAGATCAAAAGAAATATTTGAACCATTTTTTCTTTCAACTATACTATTTAAAAATGTTTTTGTTTTCATTTCTTATTG